AAGGGCACAGTGTTCGACGCTCTCCTGGTACCTGGAAACAGAATGCCTTTGAATTACTTTTAATTGGATCACCTTCGGGTTGTAGTTTCCTTTTAGCAGCTCCTCTCCCACACGCACAACCCTTGTTTTCTCCTTTTAGTGAACTAGGGTTGCTTTCTCTTGGTTGTTCACAACTTTGGATACTACCATTTCCAGTGCTGTCTGTTGTATTTGCCACTTCTACAACTGGATCATAGTGTCCACTGCCAAAATGGTGAAATGCCAGGTACAAAGTTTGTTGGGTGCAAATCTTCTGAAAAGGCGAAATTGGGATAATAGGAAAGTTTTCCATTGATGTGAACAGGACTATGTTCACTCTCAAAACGTTTGTCAAGGACAAAGCCATCAGATTGCCTACTTCTCCACTGTAAACACCAAGCTGCTTGAAGTTCTTCACTTGCTCTTCATATTCAACCACATCATTGCTGATGTAACCTTCATAGACTGCTCTGTTTTCAAGTAATTCAGATACCATTAAATTTCGCAAACCGGCGACAGCAGTGTCATGGTCGCCTTGTAACAACACATGAAATCCAGTTGCTTGCAAATGATTAAAAAGCTCTGAATTCTTTGAAGATATCATTTGTTTCAACTGAAATATCACACTTGAAAATAAACAATCTCCATTGGGTTCTACTGGTATCCTGGCAAAGTTGTAGCTAGAAAGAAGGTTGTCAAGCTTGCTTCCACTGTCAGAAGCACTGTAAGATGACATGGTTCCAAAGCCAAACAATACATGGGTTGCCATTAAATGGAATTGATCGGTATTCACAGCACCGTTCACAACTTCTGGTAAATCAGTTGTTAGAAAATATAGGTTGAGGGCACGTGTAAATGCATCCGATTCAATATCTTTCACATTACTATCATCTTGTTCCTCACTTTCAGCATTGAGGTCACCAGTTTCTAATATATCATCAAAAGCCCTTCCCATTATATCTTGAATTTCACTTAAACAATTACTGCACTGTTCATAAGCTGCAGGAAGAAATTCCATACAACCAGTTCGCTCTTTTGAAATTCCAATGCCAAAAGTTTCCTTGCTGGAATCTGTTTTGTCATTTAAAAGCTCTGCTTTCTTTGAGGTTATGGAAGGCAGCACTTGCGACTTCGACCCTTTACCCTTAGCTGCTTGTTTCGCATTCCATTTGTAAAGAAAGGATGTTAGAAGAGCTACTGCCAAAGCAACACCTATACGTCCTTTAGAAGCTGCCTGTTGCAGGCACCTATGTAAGTTTTCGTTCCTCTCACTTCCACAGCCCACTGGAATATATGAAAGACAGCCTTTTTTAGCATGTTTTTTCAAGTTATCAATTTCCTTCACTGCAGCAACTGTAAGTACTAGTTGATTTTCATGGGAGATGTCTTTCCATGTTTCTAAAAACTTGTTAATGTTATCTAAGATGACTGGTGGAGAAGGAGTTTGTAAAGAACGCTTCTGTCCAGCATCTGAAGGGTCGCGAAAAACAAGCCTAAATGCTTGACAGCAGCGGTAGGCAAAGGGGTGTCGCTTCGGTATATTCTTAACAACCCGCTGTACCGCATGGAACAAGTCTAATTTAACGAGCATTTCTGAACCAAAAACATCTTGCAGTTTACCCCTCCATGCACAACAGTTATCAATGGTGCAAAGCTTGACATTGTTATTTTGTTGATCAAATCTACCCTTCAAATTCTGAAGGAGATCTCTAACATTGTCAAATGCGGTTCCTTTGGTCAACTGCCAAGCTAAAACTATTCCATCTTCATTTAGAATACAGAACATAGAATCATACTGCTTTTCCCATTTTTGGTCTGACTGACGCAGTAGTCCAATGTTTGCTGCTACTTTAAAAGTGTGGTCACATGAAATCCAAGTTGCTGCACTAGTTTGTGCCATGCACTGTGTATAAAGCATTTCCTTTTGATTGTAATCATGAATTATACATTGAGCAATAAAATCATTACTGGGAGCTTTCAGTTCATCTGGCATGGATTTAGGAAAATGCGAATTGGTGCTTCCATTTGAATTAATCTGTCCCCCCTGACAACATTTCATTTCGTTATCAAACATCTCTCGCCTTTCCTCGAAATATTGGAGATGCTGTTGCGCGATTAGGCACTCAATTTGTTCAATTTTCATTCCAGTGCTGCTATAAAGGACAATATCGTTGTAAAGGTCTCTTGTTATTCCACTAATATGGCTTAGTAAGAAGGGCAACTGTTCCTTGGAGGGAAAGCTTTGTAGGAGTGAATTATCATGTGCCACTATTTCATGGCCATTACAGCATCTATAGACTCTACTAACCAAGTAAGTTACCCCATTGCGTGCAAACAACAACCTGGGAACATTTCTTTCATTTCTTCCATCCTTCCAGTGCGTAGGCCGAAGACAAACGCCCGCAACATTGCATCGTGGGCAAATCACAAGTCCGTTTTGTAAGGTTCGTTGTGAAACTGGATCCCATAGTATAAGTGTTGGTCTCAGGTAATGATATGGGTCTGGTAAATTGGAGTTTAAACTTGATTGAAAACTTGACCTGAACCAGAGTGGTGGAGGCTCCACAGTAAAGGGCGGTATAGCTCCAGCGACTTCCTTAAGTACATCCTGTATGTAGCGATAATGTTTTTCTTTGTGAGAAACACAGTACGCGATTTGCAATGATCCATGGAAAAAGATAAATATCACAAGCGATCTCCATTCAAAAAGCCTGACAGCCATCTTTGAACAGGCTCCACGCAAACGAGGCAAAGCGCGCATTGCATCATGCACGGTGTTCCCAGGAAGCAATGCGCAAAGCGCGAAAAGTTAAATGTGTAGCTGTAATTTTTTTCCCGCTCTACGGTCAGCTTTTCCCGCTCTCTAGTACGGAAGAATTATGGCTTCTCCACCAAAGAGACCTAAAATACCTGAAGATTTGATCCTTACTGTCGCTAAGGAGGCGTCGGATACTGAAATTCCCTGGGCTAATGTTGCACCACCGTTTTTTGTTGAATGGATCGAGGAATTTTCGTGCGCGCACAATGTGGTGAAAGAAATGATGTTTATGGCGATACTGCCGAGTATTGCTGCTCTGCTTGGATCTCGCTCTTCCGTCAAACCATCCCTGCAAGAGCCATACAGCGAGAATTTCAGCCTTTTCACTCTGTGCATCTCCCCTCCATCATCAGGTAAAAGTCAAGCCTTTAAGAACGGAGCGAAAATCCCCTTGTCGCACGTGGAGAAGGTCAATGAAGATGCCTGTATTTTGCTGGACAAGTTCACAGATGCCGGTCTAAGACAGCACTTGCTGAAACATGGAGGATTAGCAGCGATCATCAAAGATGAGATGTATGATACTCTCCGGGCTGTCATTGCCGAGAAAGAAGTAGGAACTCTTTGTCGCCTGTTTGACGGAGATTCCCTGACCTCTAACCTTGGTAATAATTCACAACGTGTCAGCACTGAACAAACGTCTCTGTCGCTTGGTGGATTTATACAGGTAAAAAATTTTTTGTCTGAAGTCTATCCAGCCATGATATCTTCACAGAATGGTTTCGAGGAGCGCTTCCTGTACGCAGTTGTTAAGCCAAAGGCAATGACAAGAAGAGAAACACAGGTAATAAAATATCCATCAGTAAGGTTATGCACGTATCAACACTTTGCCTTACTTTTTTGTGTTCCTTTCTTACAAATGAAATTACAACTTGAATAATCTTAATGAATAAAAAATAAATTAAATAATTTATTATAACACATTACTGGAACTATTAACACAGAACTTTTTTATTATACAGACTTTTTCGGTGTCATTGTTAATGTTTACACAGTGAAAATGCGATCGCTCCTAAGGTTGCTGAAAATAGCTTTTCAATTTTGTATGCTGTCTACTTTCCTATGAATTTCTCCTAACGACACAAGTCAGTTTTCAGTTGAAATTTAAAAAGAAAAAAGCATTGTGTTCACCTGACAGCTCTTAAAGGAGCTGTGTCACGAAATTCAGCCAAATTAGGGAATTACAAAATGCCCGTTCAATTAAGAGAAACATAAAAATAACCGCTTAAAACTTTAAAGGAAGGTTAAAATAACATGACAGAAACAACAGATGCCACGGATGGGCAAAACTGAAGAAGATTGAAACGGATTGAAATTAAGGTTCTTGAAAACTTTTCAGCCTAAACGTTTTTCAAAGTTGATCCCTGCTGCTTGCAACTTCAAAAATAAAAATTAAATGCTCAGGAGACATATTTGTTTGTCTCAGATCTTGATTTTGTCATTTACATGTAATTTCTTTGCTTACTTTAAGTTCCATAGCAACTGAGGGCAAGTAATTGGCAAAATTAAACAAAATGAACTGGACTGCCGTGACACAGCCCCTTTAAGTAGAGTCCTCTGCCTGCAGCGATTGGTTATCATTAGTAACCTTGGCAGAAAGTTCACCAAGGGGAAATCCTTGTGGATTAATGCCTCACAATTTTACCCAGTACACTGTACATTATATTCTGTTATCTCTGCCCATGAAAGTGGTATTTAGTCTAATTTTTTTACCTCATACTCAGGACCTTATTAACCATTTGTTTCACCTTAAAACAAATCCATGGAGATGTCCTGGGGGGTCAGACCCTGGGCAAAGACAGTGATAAGTGCATCAGGAACACCCATTTCCCTGGGTACAGCACATTATTACCAGGGTTATTGAGCATACCTCTAGCATTTGACGAAAGGTTCAAACTTTTTAGGGAGGCAGCGTGGCCGAGTGGTCAGCGGGTCGGACTCGCAATCCGGCGGTCCCGGGTTCGAGTCCCGCTCTGGCCACTTGCTGGATTTGTGCTCGGTCGTCCCGAGTTCAAATTCTCGGCCATGCTTGTAAATAGCCAACTGGTTGCCTTCTGCCAGTTGGGGTTTTTAATCCTGTTATGTAATGTATTTGAATTATTCGTTTCTAAATATTTGAGTGGAGTGCCTGTAAATTAGCTGACTAGCTAAGTGCTCCTTCCACTATAAACATGCCTTTAACCTTTTTAACCTTTTAACCTTTGTATTAATGAGGTCTACCAAGGGTCAATTCCCCGCCCGCAATAGAAGAGGGTACCTCCTGTACTTATAACCTCAAACTCACTGCACACTTTTCTACAACATGTGCTTACCAGTTATGTTCTACTTTTGGGAAAACCCTGGAAATAGCAATTGTTAATCAAAAGCCACCAAAACATAACATGAAATTTAACAGCTCTAAGCCATGCAAATATTAATTATTTTGAAGAGAAGTAAAAAGTAAATTTTGTATGGTTGTTTTTCATCAGTCCAAATTTAATCTTGATTGATGAAAAATTAAAAGCAAATAATGATGGGAAGCTGGGATTGCAGAACAAAATATATAAGAAACTTCAGGTCATCTCATATAAGAGAGTACAATTCCTAAAATAGCTCGGGCCTTTTCCCTAGAGTGAGGGGAAGGGTTAAGTTTTTTTACAGTTATAAAAACTATCCATAAATTTTTATTCCTGGGACTTTCTCTAATAGAAACAAACTATGATAGTTTAAAAATTCTGTAAAATAAATTCTGTCTATTTATATAAATTTTTTTCATCCTTGGAAGTTCCTTCCCCATACATGTCTTGTAGTTAGGACAGGGTTAAAGGAAATGTACATGTGTGCTTTTCATTTAACTAACAATACTTATTCTTACATTCAAAGGTATATGTCAATAAACTGCAAGAATCAAATCTACAGGATCTCACAGAAATATACGATGCAATTTTTAGAGATCATAAAGATGGCTTGACATACACATTTTCAGCAGAAGCATTATCACTGTACGATGAGTTTGATTCCGAGATATGCTGTTTGTTGAACAGCAGGTGGAGCATGGGAGTGCTCATTAAAGATGACGCAGAACTAGGAAAAGATCGGCGTCAGGTAATCCGCCTGGCTGTCATCTTGTACGTACTGTACACCTACACCAGAAGGGCTCTGTTTCAGTCATATGGCACCATTTCTGTTGTCGTGGGCAAGACGTATATGGAATATGCCATCAATCTCATGAAGGACTACTTTCGGCCTCAAAAGAAGACCATTGATAAGGTACATGTATTTAGATTTCCATCTGGTTATTGTGATAGTTGAAGGGCTAGAAGAGGGACGTGTAAAAGACCTTTTGGCTTTAATATATGTGAATGGTGATTAAATATAATTTATTGTAACAAAGATAACTGAATTTTGGATGTAAAGTACAAAATAAAAAATACACCCAGCTATATGAGAAATGGATTACCATTAGGGCCTTTTTACAAGGTATAAAACTTTAGTTAATGCTTTTCCTTTTTCAAAAAGGAGCAAAGTCTTACATAATATTTTTGCTCTGGTTCAAGTAGAGATAAGTTAAAATTAGTATTTTTTAAATCATGCATGCTTCACTTGAGTTGCTTGTGGTAATCTTCAGTATAAGGAGGATTATTATCTCTAATTAACTTGAAGGAAACACTTCATGTTTACTTTCAAATTGGCAGACTCAATTTTTTATCATAAAATTCAACAATATTGTAATATTACTTAGTACAACATACTTTTGGCATGATTTAAAAGATTGCCTTTTAATCCACACCTGACTTCCAAAACCAAAAATCTCAGAACAAATTGGGAACAGAAATACTGAGATATTGAACAAGCCCACTACACTGGAGAATGTGATGGCTGTTCTTCAATTAAAAGAAAAGGCATTAATAGTCAAATTATGTAATGTTGTTTTGTTATATTTAAAATGACAGCTGTAAAAAAAAACAATATAATTTTATGCTTAATAATATTAGCATAAGCTGCAATATCTCATCTTAGTTACAGTGTAGATACCACTTACAGATGATACTCTTAAAGTAACATCCCTGGATCCTTTCCATTAAAACCAGAGCCTGAATTCCAAAGTGCTGTCCTCAACTGGAAGTATGCAGTCAGTGGAAAAGAAAATACTGGATCATGCTGGTCCTGTCGTCAACATGCGGACATTCCGAAACAAATTCAATGCAAACTCCCGTCCCACAAAGGAGGAAACCGAGCAAGCCATGATAAAACTCCAAGACGAGGGCTTTGGAAAGTTTGTAAAATCTGGAAACACTGCAGCTTTCCTAAAACAACTCCCATCCGCAGTAGATGAAGGGAAGCTGCAGTTTTACATGTCAAAGATGTCGTACAAAGATGTGTTTTGCCGCAAAAATTTCGACTTGGCAAAGCAGCAGTTCACCGAACTGCTGTCAAAGGATCCCCTTGGGGATTCCATACAAGAATATCTGCAAGAGCAGCAGGAAAATATAAGGGAATAATAATTTTTCCCTTATATTCACCTGCTTAGATTAGATTAGATTTTGGAATGAGAAGGCGAAGCAGTTGGCATCGTCTCCTCAAACAGCTGAATGTGACAAAACTACCATCAGTGATATAATTGATGCCTCCTGGGCATTAAGAAAAACTTCATTAATAGCAGGAGGTGCAAGAAAGGTTATTGAAGA